GATATCATCACAGGCAGCTCTGAGGGACAGTGTGGAAACAGGGAGCAAAACTGCCCTAAAAAAAAGCTTTTCTAGGCCCAAGATTTGGGATTTTTGGGGGACAGGACAGGCTCAGAGCACAGCTTGGATTTGGGGCAGGTGAGGCCAAACCCTGTGCAACCCCCAGTCAGCTCAGCTGAGGTTCCCTGGACACTTCCCATCCAACCACCTCTCCTGAGGATTTATGGACATCAAAACCCAAACTAGGAGCTGGGACAGAGCCAGTTTGGCCTTTTTTGGCTTAACCTGAGCTCCAAGAGTTCACCAGGATGAGTTGGGAAGTGTCATCCACCTGGATCTCATCACCCTCAGCAGAGCTCCCTGCAGCTCTCCTCCCTTCCCTGGCTCCACTCTGCTCTCCCTGGACACCAGTAGCCCCAGTTGGGATAAATCCAGCTGCTCCCATCAGCTGGAAAACAGAATCTATTGCAGGATGAGGGTCCCTGTCCCCATGTCCCTGTGCTGCCACTGTCACAGCACTGAGTGACCCTGTGTGGGTCATGGGGGAGGAGAGAGGCCACTGGGCTGTTTCTTATGGAATTTCTAAGGAAAATCATAATCCATGAGGTCAGTGGGACAACTGCAGTCTCATCTTCCTGCAGGAGATCAGAGCATCCCTGGGATTCTGCTGCAGGAGCCACTTCTGCTCTCAGATGACCCAAAAACCCACGATCAATGGTATCAAAATGTGCTTTAAAATCTGAGTCAGAGTTATTTAGGGAATAAAGGTCCTGGATGGGTTTTCCCACCACTCTTGAGGATATCACCTCCAACAAATCCAAGTCAAGTGCTGTTTTCCCCCATAGGAGATCCCAGGAATGACTCAATGAACCAGGCTAAGCTGCAGGTCTGGCAGTTCCCACCTCCAACTGCTCCCACAGGAAGAGAACCATTGGAAAAAATATATTTAGGACATCTCCCAGTTTTAAATGACTCCATTAAATCCAGACAGGAGCTGGTGGACACGTCGTGGGACGGAGCAGCTGGGCCCTGTGGGACGGGGGGAAGTGAAATCCTGGGACAGGCACTGCTCCCAGCAGAGCTATTTCTGCACTTGAATGACTCATCTGGGAGTGTATCCGTCCACCTTCCCCAAAAAACCAGGGAAATCCAAGCAAAGCATCCACATTCCCTGCCACAACACACAGCCTGGCTGTGGAGCTGGAAAATAAAGCAGGTGTTGGATCACCATCAGGGATAAAGGTTTAACACTGGATTTGGGTGAGAATATCCAGTTTGAAGATGGGAAAACATTTCCTGGAGTGGTTTATCCCCAAAATCTTGAGGTTTTCTTCCCTTCCAGCCACTCCTGCTGCCCTGAAGAGGCTGAGGGAGGAAAGGCTGAGCCTGGGAATGTTTCCCTCCCTCCTTATCTCAGCTTTAACTGCCACGGGGTCAGTGCAGGACACCAGAGGAGCTTTGGTGGCACCGAGTGAGCCTAGATGGGGAACAGCTCCCAAATTTGGAGCTGGAAAACACTGAGCCTGGAAATGGAAGGGCACAAAAGCATTTCCCTC